CCTATCCTTCTCCCACATTCCCACTTACCTCGTATGCAACATGAGTTTGGCACCGATCAGTGAAGTTCGCTTCACTGTACTGCGCTATACAATGAATGATGAATCTTGGAGTTGACGAAATTCGGGTTCAGTATGGTAAAAGGGACGGATTCCGACAGAAAGGTCTGAATCAGCCGTATTACCGACTTACAAGGTAAGTAAGTAAGTTAACGACCGTCTTGTGAAAACACAGCAATTAATTTGATCAACATCATCTCCTGACGTCTCACTGGAATCACACCTACTTGACTGTCCGCCGCATGTGAAGAATGCACACGAGAGAACCAGACTGGTTTTAAACTTGGTCGAGGTTGTATTGACCGCATTTTCACTCTTAGAAAAGAGAGTTCTATCTTTCAGAGGTAATTCGTTCAGGATAGATGAAATGAAGCGTAAACTGAAAAGCTATGAAGCATTGCACAGCTGTCTTGATCTGGTTGGGTCTCATCAACAGTGCGAATCCATCGACTCAACTGGGGATCAAANGGGATCTTTCTCCATCTGAAGACGGCCTTCGTTTCAAACGACCGCTCCAATCTCTGGCACGGAATTCCCCGAAAGTTGTGCGAAATATTGCTATCCCGTTACAGCAATAGCAGAAGCCGAGTAAGAGCTTACGGCACTTTCGCCCGAGTTCATCACTGAATGGAGTTTTTCTCTGAACATCTCATTGGATTCGTCTCTGGAGTGGAACTGAGCTATTAGATCGCAGCCGTAATGTGGTAGAAATGTGACTATGCATATCCTCACTACGTTTGGACGTGATATACGAAAGATATATGACAAAACCAAGATTGTCTTGGGTTAGAATCAGCGAGGTTCACACAACGGCATCCGAGCTGATGTGGTGATTATCCGGAACGCGTTGAAGGTAAGCAAGTTTACTGTTGGTGCGGTCGGGTCGAATATTCCAGCGATCTTGTTTCCCATTATTCAGTTCAACTTCACCACCGATAAAAAAACACCAGTAGCATGGGCAACAAAGAAACAAACGATTGCGACCGACTACGGACCGCCAGTGTCATTCTCTTTGTCACGCGATCGAGGGAAGGGGATCATTCTGCTTGGTAGGAAAACTGTACCATATAGCTGTGCTTCTACCGTTTTTAATTGTAATTTCGTGCCCTACACTTCTTCTCACAGATAAATTGTCAGCCAAATAAGCTTGAGTCTAGAGAACCCTCACCTACTGCAAAGTTGACAACAAGGGTGCGGGGCCCGTGGCCATTGAGCCTGTCGATTAACACAACAAAATACAAGAGAGCACATCACAAGAAAAGGTAGATTGCATCTAAATCACATTCTCGATACTCCCAGAGGCTGATAACACCTCATTCTCAAGCCCGTTATTAGCCAGGTTAAGCCTAATCGAAAAGCGGTGAGNTGACGGGTCACAAAAGATCAGGTGAAGTTTAATTCAATCAACGAAGCGAAAATTCGAGGCGTACGTCCAGAGGATCTCGATCTTCGAAAAGGTTTCAGTCCTGATCATTCAACAGCACTCAAAACGGAATAGCAAACTGGCCGCCTGGTAGTATGAAGATATTCAAGACCGAGTTTCGTAGTGTCCGGTACAAGAGCTGATCTCGTCACAGAGCCCATGCTATAGAAATCTAGCCCCGAAAATTAGTATTCCGAAACCAAAGGGGTTCGTATTTCTTTGCTACCAGTACGGTGCACTGAAAAGACCCGAGAAACCACATAACAGGAAACTGAATGATAAATTTGCAGCTTCGCCAGGATATTATACATATTACACTAGATGGTAGCGAAGTTGCCAATTAACCCAATTTCTTGGCTTGAGTGAAGTATTAGTCAATCATAAACCGATCGATTAGAATTTCATGTAATTCGCGAACGAGACATTGTGTTGTAGGATCACAATGCAATACGAGTTTAACAAGAAATAGCTGTCTCAGATCAATGAAAATGTGATCAGACATATGGATAAACTACATTCATGTAGGTTACTTGTAGTCTAATAATGCACATTCCACGCATATCGACCTTTAAAACATGGGGCTTAGTTGTCTCACTGTTACTGATCACCCTTGCAGGCAAACTTACAGAGTATTCTTTGGAGGATGTTGCTATTAAACTCCAGCATTGTAGTAGAATGGAAAAAATCTCGCCCATACTGATGTAGCAATTGAAAACACCAGTTCTGTGTCATTGTACATGGATTTTGCCACAATTGGGCGAGAACAGTTCAAAATACACCATAACGTATGGGGTAGGTGGGAAGGGGAACATTTCAACTCATGAACCACAATAAGCAAACTGAAGTACAAAGAGGCATCAACGATGTCTTGGCGATGAGGAGCTATAACTTCCAGACGAGGAACGGCTTCGACTAGAAACAGAAGGACGACGAAATCCGGAGTAACGATGAGCACGTCGTCCACGACGATGACGCGAAGAGCTGTATCGTCGAGGTGAGCTACCTGCAGCCCATCGTGAACTTCTTGAACGGGAATCTCGTGTATGAGATCGTGAACGAGAGCCTGACCATGATCGGTCCCTGCCATGACGACTGGAATAGGCACTGCGGACTGTAGATCGATAAGTCGAACGTGACCGCGAACGAGAGTACCTGGACCGACTTATAGGTGAGTACCGACCATAGTAACTGCCCCGACCTCGACTGCGGGAATCGGAATAGTCACTGCGTCGACGCGAACTTCGTGAGAACGGACTGACTGAACGTCTGGGTGTGCGTACTCGACTACGACCGCGAGAGCGCGAAGAACCAGATGACGAAGAAGAAGAGGATGAGGAGGAATCTGCCGAACTGGAACTGGATGACGATCTAGCTCGCACGAAAGGTTTTGATGGCTAAAAAGGAAAATTGAGTGGAGATTAGTTTGAACATTGACGGGCGACAGACAGATAAACACAAATAAAAAGCCCCAACACACCGTGAGTGTGCAAGACATCAACGATGATACCTGAGATTCCGACTTCTCTGTTGTCTTTACATCAGCTGAACTCGGTGCTGCCTGACTGCTAACGACTGTTTGAGCAACGACACTCGGTTGTGCAGCTACGGTCACAGAGGGGACGGGTGTAGTACGCTCTTCCGTTCCAGTCTTTTGACTGGATTCGACTGGTTCTGTCACTGTAGCAGAAGTGCTTGTGGTATTGACTTGTGCCATGCGAAGTCTTTGGAGCACAGATTCGGTGGGTTTTGCGGCTTCAGTTATAACTGGTGCAGTCGATTCACTGCTTGTGAGTTTAGGTGACGTAGTCAATCCAGTTGACCGGACAGTGCTTACAGCAGGATCCACACTCGCGGAGTCTGCCTGCCAGTGACTACTTGTCCATGCGTTTCGGGGTGCCGCTGTCTCAGTTTTATCCGGCTCTTCCGGAGATTGGTCCCACTTACTCTTCTCGAGTTGCTCCTGTTGGGTTAGGGGAACACGCACACGCACACGCAAAACACAGCTGGGGGTTAGCATTGCAAAAACACTCGAGGGACACTTGAGTGGAATGCGTAAATACGCTTAAGAATGGTGCATAGCATGAAACACAAAGTGGTCAGTGCCTTGTCCTATTATAAGTAGCGTTGCGAAATGAGCTCCTCAGGTGAGCAAAATTTCGAAACGGTTTGATGGAGATTATGCGAGTACAGATGAACGAGGATAAAACCTGAGACAGACACCACCGATTATCCTTATTTCGCCAAAAGCGTTACAATCGTTTGAAATACGGTTGCTACATCCGCGAACACGTCTGAGTTCAGACCGTGTCAAACAAATTTGTGGTTTCCTTTAAATTCTCACATCACTGATATGTAAATCATCGAAAGAAGAGTAACATCATTCTGACTTCTGTTTAGTTTCCAGGAGAAAGAAAAGGAGCGGATATGCGCTGTTTACTACTACTACTACACTGTTGTACCGAAGTATAACGGAAACTAACTGAAACGCACATCAAACGTACACCCATTCAGTAGCTCATTGAATATCCATGAGACGGTTTTTTTGTTCCGTGGGCATAAACTCGACAGGTGTATAAAAGGGGCCTGACACCGTGCTAGTGTACACACTTTGTGACCCCGATGAACTCTTACGATCAATTTACCGGCCTCTGATCAGCTCGGTTTCACTTTGTTGTGATCGACCCAAAGAAAAATTGATTAACAAGAGGGTGTCAGAAGTATTGTGTAGCACACAACTAACAGTCAAACACTGCTTCACTTCACTCGTTATTTCTACCAAATAACATGAATCTCCGGATTCGGTAGTTTGATCATTCCAATCACTCTCATGATTAATGCTTGTTTGTTCATGATCAATTCTCGTCCATTTTCCAGGAGATAACCCTTTTGACATCCCCTGCACGCCTGGGAAGAATTTCAGACTAAATCGAATCCCACTAGACCACCGATATTCCTTAGCACTTTGTGTAGTACTTGATCACGATCGCGCCTGTCAAACTGGGGCGCTCCACTATAGTTCTACAACACGGTCAAAAAACGACCCTTAAACACCAACAGTCCACTCTTGTTTCCTTAAACACGGGATGCAACTGACCGTACTGCGGCAGTACGTAGCGTAGGAAGAATCGGATTCGTAAACCTAAAATGATTTCTCCGTGAATGTAACGCGAGCTTATCGAAAAACTTACCATAAATCTGCACATGGCGAATGTTACTTAGCAACTCGTTCCCCTAACCTGCATTGTATCGATCAAGTCCACCCATACCAAAGCTGTTAGTATGTGCCATGCCATGTATAGGTGTTCAACCGAAATAGGGCTTTAATTTTGATAGTACCATGTGTAAATGATAGAGCTTTGCACCAGATAGCGAGGACTATGCTGGACCGACCAGTAAACAAACGATCACAAAACCGGGATTCTGAGACAATAAAGCCGATTCTAAATGTTCCGGACACAACCAAGACTGCAAAATTTGATTTGCCTGAGAGATGGAGCAGGCTGCGATACTTGATCACTTCTATTTGCAGTTAGTCGAGTATGTTAAAAGCAGATGTGCACTCTATGATGGGAGACAGTTGCGCAAAAGCTACATTCAAAGACTATTCAAAAACATAAGTTGTTATGACTTGGAAAATGGACAGCACTTTCTTATAAAAACAAATTAGGAGCACTCGAACCGCAAAACAGGACAAAGACATGCGTCAGGATCCAAAAGATCAAAACAGCGCACCACCCGCCAAAAAACGGAAACCAACTAACCTCGATAATGACATCACCAGCGGCGGCCATTGGCATTATTCTGCAAAAATGGAAGCACAAAAATTGCATTTGAACTACTGTAGATAAGCGAAATGGTACATCACTGAGTAGTTGAATTCTACAACAGCAAATGATTAGAATATGTCAAAAGTAAGTGCTTCGAAAGCATCATTTTGTTTGTATAAGGTGGGGACGTTGTAAAAAGTTTAAAATCTAGTACACCATCGACAGGACTCGCAAACCGTCCACTAACAATGACCCGGTTAGGAAATACCAAGTGGTCGGGAAATATTAGGCAGCCCAATGACACAGCTATTTAAAAAACGGATATCATATAAATCTTTATTCTACTATATACTGTTGTTGTTGTTTAACTGAACATTCGATCTTCCTTGATGTAGCTCAGTCTGTTGTGTATCATAAAAAGCTACGTAACAAGGCGTCAGCTGAGTCCACAGGGATTCTGGTTCAACAAATGGTTGTTATTCTAATTCAATGTCTAACCTAAGCATACCTGAAAGTCGACGGAAAGAGGTCAGATAAATGCAGTTGCTTGATCCTTTTAATATGACTCGAGTTAGTCTCAGTCGGTAAAATAAGGAGTGATTGATCCAAGTAGACGAGTCTCTATTTCGCTTCACACACTGCTTTGTAGTTGGGCTTGTGATAGGACTGAAGGCTTTATTACCTCCGAAAGCCTCTGTATGGTAGGGGGTGGGTGTCTAGCTACTAGCTACTTAGTACATATTTATAACCAACTTGTGGTTAAGCATAGTGCTAATCACAATAACGGGATGAGTTGATTGGGATACAGAACGGGGTGAAAAGGTTAGTTACAATAGGTAACAGAAGTTAACAGGAATAGCAATAAATTGTTTCACCGTACACCTTTTCATAGCCTCAGTATGGTTCACTTGTGAATACACCTACGTTAGCCTGTAATCAGCTCACAAGTAAATCATGGAACGTTTTTTTTTTCGATAAAGATTATTGTACCATTTGTTTGGCACAGTCTGGCATCAGATGTGTGAAATATAAATATAAATAATAAAGGCTTCACTTAGACGAGGAATGAACGGTCTATCGGAAAACTTGCAACCGCACTCACGTCCGCTTTTTATTGGATACTTTGATTGACAGCTGTACCGGGGATGTTCCTTGATGACGAACGGAACGCTTAGATCTCACGCTATGGGACGCTGAGTGTCGGGAACTCCGACTACTTGAACGACTGGAACTTCCGCTGTGACTAGGTGATCGGGTCTTGGATTTCTTACGTGACTCCAGGCTGACCTGATGTCGACTTCGGTGAGATGAACCCGTTTTGGACCGCGAACTGGATGACCGTACTCGATGACGATGGCGCGGAGATGAATAAGAACGAGAGCGTGTACGCGAGTGTGATCGGCCCGGTGGCGATGGGCCTCGACGGCCGGAGTAGCGAGATCTTCCCTCGGAAGACAATGACGGTGCGTGATAGGTGCCAGGAATACCACGCCGCTTTTGAATCAGACGCTCCCGGCGCATACGCCATCTGACCAAGGTGGAAAAAGCCACAAACCAATATAGGAATAATGAAGCCAAAATAAAAACAACAAGATACAAACCACACAGGTTAAGCGTTGCTCACACTAATCAGAGGCAATTAAACCACGCGAAACGACACTCAAAGCAAAACTCAACAGTTTGCACTGCATTCGAAGAGATTTGCGAGTGTGCTATTTGACGCAGAAAAGAGTAAATTCCTTTAGATGTATTCACGCTAAGAAATAAAGTGGACATTTAAAGTAAAACGCAACTCATTCTTTCGTAGGATGATTCGTTAAAAAGCGCAACCACGAAGTAAACAGATGGGGAAAACATGGTATTCATAATTTAGTACCTGTCGTCGCCATTTTCCACAGTATCTTCAGAATGACTACAGTTGGATGGAAGAAAATATTCGCATCAATCAATGCAATGTCGCTGAATGCGAGATAGGTAAAAAAAAATGTAACTTGACGACAGAAGAGTCAGAGTCAGTCAGATTATATTGCCTAAGAATGAAGGATCGTTTTTACCGATAGAAAAAAGAGAACGAGCAAAAGTGGATTATTGTGTTGCATTGATCCCAAACTTGGTAATCAGGTAGGAAGCATGCGGTACAAGGAGTTGCATAGAAATCAGCAGCCCGATGATCAATAACTACTTTTGATGTAATGATGGCAAAATGCGTGTTTTGACAGCAACATAATCGCAAAGGGACGATTACGTTGGATTAACTAACTTTTCTACGAGATGCGGAGGTGGACTGCGCGGGCCAGGAACTGAAGGTCGGGGACCGGAACGAGATCGTGAATGACGCGAAGAACGGCTGCGTCCGGAGTCGCTGCTTCCACTACTGTACGATTCCGAACGAGTACCCGATCTACTGCTTCGCGAATCTTGCCGCGGGGCAGCTGAAGGCTTTGGTGGAGCAACTTTGTCAACGGTGGCAGGTTTGGCTTTGGGTGGCGCGTTGTTCATTTCGAGCAGGTGATGCGCATACTGTTCCATGGAGTGTGCCGGTGAAAATGCGCCTCGAGCAGATCCACTGTAAACTCTTTCTTCTCCCCGGTATTCACGTATTTCACTCGGGCGATGGGATTGTTCAGTTTTATGTGGATCAGGCGATATAGACCTTTGAGAAGGACCCGGAGAACGCATACTCGGGGGCGATGCCTGTTTCATAAATATGAGAGGAATAAGGTAATTATATCAGACTATAATTAGATGAATTGAGTTAGTATTTTGTACGAAGTCGACTCATACTCAATAATAATCATAATCATAATATAATAGTGAGAATAATAATGAGTTGGAGAGGAAAGTCAGAACACATCATATATTATTAACAGTTATTTTGTCCACTGTGTAACACAAACAAGATACTGCTGAGAAGTCAACGCAATTGTTTGCGGAGTAAGATGAAGATAGATGTGAAGCTTAAGGAAAATGCGAATACTACTACTTCGGTGAGTCGCTAATGAGAATATAAACCTTACATCGGTTATGGTTTGGACGGAACTCAGTACCTAATCAGATGAAAAAGAAACTGAGTGAAAGATTGGCTAGAAATCGTCGAGATTTTCATTTTTAAGTATGCCTAGCAGGTGAGAACTTACTCGTCGTAGCTGTTCTGAACGACTGGGCGGTGACACCTGATTTCGTACGTGGCTACTGATAGAAGCTGATCGCATAGACCTGGACGATGGCCGTTGCGGTGACTCGGAAACGCGTTTCGATTTCTTGTACTTCCAAGCATCCGGTTCCGGAGAACGGGAAGAATCGCGACCGGGAGGATAGATCCTTGGGGAGACATTCCGTAACCGTCTGTTAGCGGGAGACATATCCGGCGTCCTTTGCCGTTTGGATGGGGCAGTGGATGAAATTTCTCGAGCTACTGGAGATCGAGATAATGAACGATGCTTTGGAGGGGAGCGCACTGTTGGTGAGATGGTATACCTCATCGGGGATCGGTGCTTTGGAGATGGCAAACGTCCCATATTTGGACCCTCCGGGGAATAGTTTTCAAGTCTGTTGGACACACCATTCATCTTTTTCCCGGTGTGAAGAAAGGGTAGAAAACATGACATGGACTGAGTAGGACAAGAAATAACTTCCGAAAATTTGAGACATTTAAGTAGAGGCAATATTTTACGCCGAGTAAATGGGTAATCTGAGAAGTTAAATGCAGAATCGGGACAAGCTCAAATGCAAACAGTAGAAAGTGATCAGATGATAGAAAGAAATCTCCTGAGTGTCGGGATTAGAAAAAATGAGGACTAAACACCCGACCAACACCCTAAACATACGCATTGATGACGAGCCCGAACGCGGAAAAAAGCTGCTACTTACTTGTGGTCGGTCATCAGAGATTTCTACCGTAAATAAATGCATTTCACGTGGGGGAATCAACGAAATTTAAAGAATAGCCCGGGCCTAGGGAGAATCGAACGAGCTGTACCAAATTTTTATTAAACACCCTATATTCGATGGCTTAGGCTGCAATGATCGAACNGATCGAACAGTCTTTGGGAGTTTGAGGTCTACTCCTTCTAACAAGATGGACAATAAAACAACCAAAGTTATAACCATCGATGAGGCGCTATTGTCGGAAAATTCCTTTTCAGATTCGGTAATTTAAAAAATCGTGTAAACAAAGCCGGAGAAGGATCCAACAACTATTACATACCTTCCCCGGTCTGCTATTTGATCGAGATGGGGCTACGTTGTNCGACCCGCCTTTCTTCTGTGCGCCACTTAATTCCTCGTAGTAATCATCATCCATATCCATTGGCTGAGGAGACCTTCGTCGAGTACGAATAGTATCTGCAGGACGTCGGTCCTCTGTATGAGAACGTCTCGATAACTGAGTGGTCGGAGAAGGGGTTCTTCGATTGACGGGCGACGGTGTAGCTTGTTTGGTTGGTCTACGGGATGAATCGTAACTTGCAGATGGTCTGGAGACGGGAGAACGACTGGCAGCCGATCTGGAGGATGGACAACATTAGGCAAAGAGCGTGGGTCCTTATATAGTTAGTGAAAAAATCGATATCATAAAACCAATGTTTGCCACAAATGTGACGTCCGCTTACTTATCAACACCAGTGACATTCGTAGGTATGTGCTGTCGAATTGGTGCTCAAAACAAAATGTTGCACTACCATAACGGTTCAAACTTTCAGTATCAGTTGTTAAAATTATTAACCGTGCGTTTCATGTGCCGGTTTTGGTTGCTGCCTGTCGGCCACCCACTTGGATAAAAGATTGGAATGCTGAGAGCAGAGTCAAAGAGAATATAGGGAATTCATACAGACTAGGGTTACAAGAATAAAAAGTAGATGCACGAGCGCCACTGTTTGTGACACCCATTCATATCACTCAGTATTTCTAAACAAGAGTTACCATGACCTCGTAGTCCTTATTCAAGGAGCCTAAAAGCATTTAGGTAACCCAGTTTCCTAGTTAATGTTTCCATACCCTCATGCTAGGTTTTAGTATGAACACCCTTGACCATTTTCCATCCACTACCTGCCTCAGCAAACACTGCGTAGCGTAGCGACCTATTTCGTAACATGAGTAACACGTCCCAACCAGCGCAGTTTACGGAGGTCGACTGCATCTTCACGGGGACAACCGCCATTACCTAAAACTCTGCGACTAACCTCAGCATTGCTCGTCCGGTTACCCCAACGGACTCGTGCAATGCTACGTAGACAGCGGTGTTCGAACACCAGTAATCCATTTTTTATCCCATTTCCGTAATGGTCAAGTTTCTGCACCGTAAAGCAGCACTGGTCGAACTGCTGCAGCATATACTTGACTCTGCACAGACAGCCGGAAGTCGCGACGGCGCCGCAGATGTCTCAAGTTCGCAAACGTCAATTGACCTTCCTGTCTACGTGACGACACTTCATTTGTGACGCGTCCACCAAGTGAGATATAGCTGCCCAAATAGCAAAATTCGTCTACTTCCTCTTCTACTTTTCCAGTTAGTGAGTTTGGGGGCTTGGTCAACCCAATCTTGAAGCGGCATTTTACACTTTGAAGATGCAAAACGCATACCGAACATGGACACATTAGCACTCCAACTATCGAGAAAAGCCTGCAACTTACCTGGAAGATGAGAAAGAGGGTTTTTCAAATGGGTGCCTGAAACCATAGGGCACGACCTACTTCACGGTAGCCCACACCAACAAAGGGGGTTTTCTTTGGAAAAACTGACCAGAGTCTACGAATCAAAAGTGTGACCTACAAGGCAGTGGCTTGTAGATCCAACACGGGAGCTCCTATAGACCTGTCCCGCTTCCGGTTTAGTGTTGTTCACCGATGAGTTGATTTTCGGTACGCGGTTCGGGATTGGCCCTTAGTTTCATGCACCTAATGAGACAAGTGGAACGTGGACGGGACAGCACATTATTGGCTGGGGGCTGTCTAGTTTGGGCGGGCGATAGCTGATCACTGAAATGTGAAGACTTCTC